ATATCATTATTGTTTTATTGGTTTTTTCCCATCATATTAATGTTATCATATTTGTATTAGTACTGTATGTTCTCTTTATATTTTTGTAGTAATTAATAAAAATAATCTTTTTTATTAAATAAATGTTATTATATTATTATTATTATATATGTTGTTTTCATTTTATTTATTTTTATAATAATAATCTATTTATTATATTAATGTTATTCTATATTTTTTTATTGTGTTTATAATGATGATGATGATTGATTATTATTATTGCTATTAATATTTTGTTTTCATTGTATTAATTTTAGTGTATTATTATTATTATTTCTATTATTATATTATTATTATTATTATTATTATTATTATTATTATTAATAATAATAATAATAATAATAATAATAATAATACTAAAAGTTATATTATATGAATTTTTATATTATTATTAATATATTTAATATTATTATTATATTTTTGTTATATTTTTTTCATTATATTCATATTTTAGTATTATTATTATTATTATTTAATTATTAAAATAATAATAATTAAATTATCATCATCATCATTTATATTATTATTGTATGCTTTTTTCATTATGTTAATGTTGCTGTTGTTGACAATTCTTATTTTTATGCTATTATTTTATCTTAATATTATATTTAAATATATTGTTTTTCATTTTATTATTATATTATTTTTTTAGGTCAATTGTTTGTCACCCTCCAATTTCCTGAATGCTGAATTCCGATGTGTTGTCCATCCCTTTGTGTTGTGTTGTCCATCCCTTTTTTTCTTCATTGTCTGTACAAGTCATGAGCTGTCCATGTGGGAGGCTGAACATTTCCCGTGTCCCTTTTCTTCAGGGGAAATTCTATAGCTGCACCGATGAGGCCAAGCACCGTCCCGAGGAATGCAAGTAAGTGTCCTGTCACCTCTACATCAAATCCAACAAACTGCCGGGATGGGGCCACACCGGAGTAACAAGTGGTAGGCCACGTCACATGACAGGGCGGGGTCAGCGCATGCTGAAGCGCACAGTGCGCAGAAGTCGCCAACTGTCTGCAGAGTCAATAGCTAAAGACCTCCAAACTTGGTGTGGCCTTCAGATGAGCCCAACAACAGTGTGTAGAGAGCTTCATGGAATGGTTTTCCATGGCCGAGCAGCTGCATCCAAGCCTTACATCACCAAGTGCAATGCAAAGCGTTGGATGCCGTGGTGTAAAGCAAGCCGCCACTGGACTCTAGATCAGTGGGGGCGTGTTCTCTGGAGTGACCAATCACGCTTCTCTGTCTGGCAATCCAATGGACGTGTCTGGGTTTGGCAGTTGCCAGGAGAACGGTACTTGCCTGACTGCATTGTGCCAAGTGTAAAGTTTGGTAGAGGGGGGATTATGGTGGGGGTTGTTCTTCAGTGGTTGGGCTTGGCCCCCTAGTTCCAGTGAAGGGACAACATTTTGGACAATTTCATGCTCCCCAACTTTGTGGAAAGAGTTTGGGGATGGCCCCTTCCTGTTCCAACATGACTGCCCACCAGTGCACAAAGAAAGGTCCATAAAGACATGGAGGAGCCAGTTTGGGGTGGAGGAACTTGACTGGCCTGCACAGAGTCCTGACCTCAACCCCATAGAACACCTTTGGGATGAATTAGAGCAGAGACTGCGAGCCAGGCCTCCTCCCCCGACATCAGTGCCTGACCTGACAAATGTGCTTCTGGAAGAATGGTCCAACCTTCCCATAGACACCCTCCTAAACCTTGTGAACGGCCTTCCCAGAAGAGTTGAAGCTGTTATAGCTGCAAAGAGCGGGGCCAACTCAATATTGAACCCTACGGGCTAAGACTGGGGGGCCATTAAAGGTCATGTGGGTGGAAAGGCCGGCGGCCCAATACTTGGGGCAATATGGTGTATATATGGTGTACATGGTGTCACATGCTCTATACGTCGGGATGTCCAGGTCCTGATCTGATCTGTTCCATGTTGCAGGGGCACATTCATTGTATACAAGGACGGAGACGTCACCCATCCAATGGTACGAGAGAGAATCTGGCACAACAGCGACTTCAACTTTGACCATGTCCTGTCGGGAATGATGGCGCTCTTCACTGTGTCTACCTTCGAAGGCTGGCCAGCGTACGTATTGGTGGATGGTGGTGACCACTACCACAGGGACCAATGGGGAAAACCCAAAATTTGTTGCTGCCACAACACTTCCTGTCGTATCTACAGTACATGACAAGGAGAAGAGAGAAATATCTTGAATGGGACACCTGAGGGTTTGAACCATCTCCTACCACAGGGGGGTTCCAGACCTTCTAAACAAAGGACCAGTTGACTGTCCTTTAGGGGACCAGACTGTGGCCAGTGGAAGTAGGAAATGCTTCGATATCAGTGGGGTTAGAAAATTACATAGTTTACATAGGAATGGTGACCCATCATTGGCGTTAGTACGAGGAATGGTGACCCATCATTGGCATTAGTGGGAGGAATAGTGACCCATCATTGGCATTAGTGGGAGGAATGGTGACCCATCATTGGTATCAGTGGAGGAATAGTGCCCCATCATTGGTATCAGTGGGAGGAATGGTGCCCCATCATTGGTGTCAGTGGGAGGAATAGTGCCCCATCATTGGCGTTAGTATGAGGAATGGTGACCCATCATTGGCATTAGTGGGAGGAATAGTGCCCCATCATTAGTGTCAGTGAGAGGAATAGTGCCCCATCATTGGTATCAGTGGGAGGAATAGTGCCCCATCATTGGTATCAGTGGGAGGAATAGTGTCCCATCATTGGTGTCAGTGGGGAATAGTGCCCCATCATTGGTGTCAGTGGGAGGAATAGTATCCCATCATTGGTATCAGTGGGAGGAATGGTGACCCATCATTGGTATCACTGGGAGGAATAGTGCCCCATCATTGGTATCAGTGGGAGGAATAGTGCCCCATCATTGGTATCAGTGGGAGGAATGGTGACCCATCATTGGTATCACTGGGAGGAATAGTGCCCTATCATTGGTGTCAGTGGGAGGAATAGTGCCCCATCATTGGTGTTAGTTGGGAGGAATAGTGCCCCATCATTGGTATCAGTGGGAAGAATGGTGACCCATCATTGGTATCACTGGGAGGAATAGTGCCCTATCATTGGTGTCAGTGGGAGGAATGGTGACCCCATCATTGGTGTCAGTGGGAGGAATAGTGCCCCATCATTGGTATCAGTGGGAGGAATAGTGTTCCATCATTGGTATCAGTGGAAGGAATGGTGCCCCATCATTGGTGTCAGTGGGAGGAATAGTGCCCCATCATTGGTATCAGTGGGAGGAATAGTGCCCCATCATTGGTGTTAGTGGAAGGAATGGTGACCCATCATTGGTGTTAGTGGAAGGAATGGTGCCCCATCATTGGCATTAGTGGAAGGAATGGTGACCCATCATTGGTGTTAGTGGGAGGAATGGTGACCCATCATTGGTGTCATTGGGAGGAATGGTGACCCATCATTGGCATTAGTGGAAGGAATGGTGACCCATCATTGGTGTTAGTGGGAGGAATAGTGCCCAATCATTATGTTAGTGGAGGGAGTTATGCCCCATTCATTGTGTGCAAATGGAAAAAAAAATAGTGCCCATCTTTGGTGTCCATGGAAGGAATAGTGCCCCATCATTGGTGTCAGTGGGAGGAATAGTGCCCCATCATTGGTGTCAGTGGGAGGAATAGTGCCCCATCATTGGTGTCATTGGGAGGAATAGTGCCCCATCATTGGTATCAGTGGGAGGAATAGTCCCCTATCATTGGTATCAGTGGGAGGAATAGTGCCCCATCATTGGTGTCAGTGGGAGGAATAGTGCCCCATCATTGGTGTCAGTGGGAGGAATAGTGCCCCCTCATTGGTATCAGTGGGAGGAATAGTGCCCTATCATTGGTGTCAGTAGGAGGAATAGTGCCCCATCATTGGTGTCAGTAGGAGGAATAGTGCCCCATCATTGGTGTCCATAGAAGGAATAATGCCCTATCATTGGTGTCAGTAGGAGGAATAGTGCCCCATCATTGGTATCAGTGGAAGGTATAGTGCCCCATCATTGGTGTCAGTAGGAGGAATAGTGCCCCATCATTGGTGTCCATGGAAGGAATAGTACCCCTTCATTGGCATTAGTGGAAGGAATTTGACCCATCTTTGGTGTCATTGAGAGGAATAGCGCCCATATCAGTGGAGGACGTTATGCCCCATCATTGGTATCAGTGGAAAGTGTAATACCCCATTGTTGGTGTCATTGGAAGGAATAGTGCCCTATCGTTATATTAGTGGAAGGAATGGTAGCCCATCATTGGTGGCAGTGGATGGAATAGTACCCCATTATTGGTGGCAGTGGGAGGAATAGTGCCCCATTTTTGGTGGCAGTGGGAGGAATAGTGCCCCATCATTGGTGTTTGTGAAAGGAATTGTACCCCACGTTGGTGTCAGTGGGAGGAATAGTACCCCATCATTGGTATTCGTGGAAGAAATGGTGCCCCATCGTTGGTGTTATTGGGTGAAATAGTACCCCATCATTGGTGTCAGTGGGGGGAACAGTGCCCCATCGTTGGTTTCTGTAGGAGGAATAGTTCCTCGCTGTTGGTGTCAGTGGAAGGAGTGGTTCTACATCATTGGTGTCAGTGGAAGGAATGGCTCCTCACTATTGGTGTCAGTGGAAGATATAGTTCCTCATATCAGTGGCAGGAAAAGTGCCCCAAAGGCTGGATAAAGGCAAGCAAAGGGCCTCATCTGACCCGCGGACCTCTGCAGACAACTGCCCCACACTATCCATAATGAACAAAGCCTTTAGAGGTACACCGATTTTGCCATAGCGGGTTTTGGTAAATCCCGACACATCTAATTATTTGACCCTTTTCATGTATTCTCTTTGTAGGCTTCTATACAAGGCCATCGATGCCAATGGGGAAAACGTGGGGCCCATTTACAATTACCGCGTGGAGATTTCCTATCTTTTTCATCGTCTACATCATCATCATTGCGTTCTTCATGATGAACATCTTTGTGGGTTTCGTCATCATCACCTTCCGAGCACAGGGTGAGCAAGAGTACAAGAACTGTGAGCTGGACAAGAACCAGGTAATGGACTTCTTGGTCCCACGGTGGGGACGTCTGTGCACACTATATTCTCGTGACTGACCTTTACCCTCTGATGTCTTTGACCTCTTCAGCGTCAGTGTGTGGAGTACGCCTTGAAGGCTCAGCCCCTGCGTAGGTACATCCCCAAGGCGAAGTACCAGTACAAGGTCTGGTATATGGTCAACTCCACTGGCTTTGAGTACATCATGTTTGTCCTCATCCTTCTCAACACTATTGCCCTGGCAATGCAGGTAGGATATAATTACAGTAGATATGTGCCCCAATGCAGAACCTAAGGCCCAAAGGTCAAGCCTTGCACACCCAGTCCAGCAGGGTCTGGGTACGGCTAGTGCTGAGGAAACCCCAATCCAGATAGCTGCTATATAGAAGACAACTCGAGAAGTGGCGGTGGGACCTGAGAAAAATGCATCCAACCTCCTAGGTAGAGATGAGGTCAGGTTTGATCTGAACTTGAGTTTGGACCAAACCCAAAAGGAAGCTGTCATGATCTGGGGTCAGTTTCGGAGACCAGTAGCTATAGCAGTAGAGAGGCCAGCAGGAAAAGTACATGGGCAGGTCAACCTGGTGGATGACACGGGTTGTGGGGCACTAACTGGTATTCACCAGATCTCCTGATGGTGGAGATGTTTTTTTTCTGGATGTTAGTACCAGGTAGCAGTCCTTGGATCATCTCACCAGGAGGGTCCGCTAGCAGATTATAGCAGGAAGGGATCCATCAGAAGCGTAATCAGTAAACAAGTTAAAGGTCGGTAACAAGCAGTGGCAGGTTGGGATCAAGCAGACGCGTAGTCATGGAACAATCCAAAGGTCGGTAACAAGCAGTGGCAGGTTGGGATCCAGCAGAAGCGTAGTCAAGGAACAAGTCAAAAGTCGGTAACAGGCAGTGGCAGGTTGGGATCAAGCAGAAGCGTAGTCATGGAACAAGCCAAAGGTCGGTAACAAGCAGTGGTAGGTTGGGATCAAGCAGAAGCGTAGTCAAGGAACAAGCCAAAGGTCGGCACCAAGCAGTGGCAGGTTGGGATCAAGCAGAAGCATAGTCAAGGAACAATTCAAAGGTCGGGTACCAAGCAGTGGCAGGTTGGGATCAAGCAGAAGCGTAGTCAAGGAACAAGTCAAAGGCTGGTAACAAGCAGTGGCAGGTTGGGATCAAGCAGAAGCAGAGTCAAGGAACAAGCCAAAGGTCGGTAACAAGCAGTGGCAGGTTGGGATCAAGCAGAAGCATAGTCAAGGAACAAGTCAAAGGTCGGTACCAAGCAGTGGCAGGTTGGGATCAAGCAGAAGCGTAGTCATGGAACAAGTCAAAGGTGGTAACAAGCAGTGGCAGGTTGGGATCAAGTAGAAGCGTAGTCAAGGAACAAGTTAAAGGTCGGTACCAAGCAGTGGCAGGTTGGGATCAAGCAGAAGCAGAGTCAAGGAACAAGCCAAAGGTCGGTAACAAGCAGTGACAATTTGGGATCAAGCAAAACGTAGTCATGGAACAAGTCAAAGGTCGGTAACAAGCAGTCATTTAACAAGTCAAAGGCCAGTAACAAGCAGTGGCAGGTTGGGATCAAGCAGAAGCGTAGTCATGGAACAAGTCAATGGTCGGTAACAAGCAGTGGCAGGTTGGGATCAAGCAGAAGCATAGTCAAGGAACAAGTCAAAGGTCGGTAACAAATGGTAGCAAAGATATAGACGGCAACAGGAGTGACAAGAGCGAGATATTGGCTGGAGAAAGCACAATAATCTGGCAAACAGGAAGTGCAAAGGCATTGCTTACATAGGAAGTTCATGGGCGGAGCAAGAAGTCCAAGGTTCAAGACAGAAAGCAAGTTTGACCAAGTAATTAGGCAAGGCACTGTTCAGCATCTCAGGTGGCTCAGCAAGAATATCTACTGCCAGAAACAGCAGTAGTCGTAGTTTCAGATCCCGATCCTGACATGAGTTGTCACCCACTGCGGCCCAATCACCTGTGGCCACAGCCTTCCCCGCCCGGTAGCTTCTTGTAAACAGAGGGATGGACATGCTTGTGACATCATTGACCTAATATGACCAAACACAAACTTATCCCTACTCCTAGGAAAGGCACGGCTTAAATAGGAATTTCATGGGAGGAGCGAAGGGTTCAAAGTTCAGCCAGAAATGAAGGTTTGATCAAGTAATCAGGCAAGTCACTGTTCAGCATCTCAGGTGCCTCAGCAAGAAGATCTACTGCCAGTCACAGCAAAGGTTATGGGTTCAGATCCTGGTCCTGACATGAGTTGTCACCCACAGCGACCCAATCACCTATGGCCACAGCCTTCCCTTCCCTGCCCGAGGGGTGGAAATGTTTGTGACATCATTGACCTAATCTGACCAAACACAAGGAAATAATAATAATTTCTTCTATTTTAAGCATTATGAACAATCAAAGCCATTTAATTATGCCATGGACATCCTCAATATGGTCTTCACGGGACTGTTTACAGTGGAGATGGTGCTGAAACTCATCGCATTCAGGCCAAAGGTCAGTCCAGATCTTATATCTCTGTATATTTAGACATTAATGATTGAAATGTAAGATTTCATTATGTAACATTCCTTAAAGGAGCCGCTGGTGAACTTTGGGCCTATTTCTCCATTGTCAGGTGCTCGGCATTTTCGGCATTTTATTCTGGTTTAAGAATCCATTTAGAGGTTTCTTTTTTATGTCATGTTTTGGGGAACGGTGAACTTGGATGGGGATAGGGAGCGTGGGATACCACGGAACTGCAAAAACGTAAAATTGAACAACCTGAGGAGGACTGCTAAACTTGCTGTCACTCTTGCAGGACTGGGGTCTTGTACCAGGCTCATCGGTTGCCTCCTGCCAATATCCCTCCAGGACCCCCCTAGTGACGGAGATGTAGATTCACACCACCTCTGGACAACTTGGGCTCCATCCCATAGCTTTCCACTGTGAGCTCCCTCCAGACCCTCGGGATTCTTGTACTTCACTCACAGTAACTAGTACCTTGCTGTCACCCTTGCAGCACTGGGGTCTTGTTCCAGGCTCATCGGTTGCCTCCTGCCAATATCCCTCCAGCCCCTCCCTCAGCGATGGAGATGTAGATTCACACCACCTCTAGACAACTTGGGCTCCATCCCATAGCTTTCCACAGCCTTTGTCCTGTGAGCTCCCTCCTGACCTCCCTCTGGATTCTTGTACTTCACTCACAGTAACTAGTACCTCGCTGTCACCCTTGCAGCACTGGGGTCTTGTACCAGGCTCATCGGTTGCCTCCTGCCAATTTCCCTCCAGTCCCTCCCTAGCGACGGAGATGTAGATTCACACCACCTCTGGACAACTTGGGCTCCATCCCATAGCTTTTCACTGGCTTTGTCCTGTGAGCTCCCTCCTGACCCTCCGGATTCTTGGGTTGCTTTGTGAATAGCCCTTCCCCCCTCCCCCCCCAGATAAGCCTAGCTGGGAAATCCATGTCTTCAGGCTGGCTTCCTTCCATGGCTTATGCCCTGGAGGTCAAGGCCCCTCAACAGGGGTCTCCTCCTGCAAACTGGACTCTAAAACACTACCCTACACATACATACATACATACCACAAGTTGCCCCTGCTGCTCTGGCCTTAGACTATTTACGGGCTCCCCCCACACCTTCTGGGCACACCTCCCCAGAGATTGGCTGAAGTCCCATAAATATTCAGGCTGCAACCTCTGCCCTTCCACTGTGTTCTAGAAATCCCTGGAAGACGGGGAAGTAGCAGAGCAGCAGCCTGACTGACCCCTGAGCAGCCCCAATTAATTAACCCCTGCTCCTCTGATTAAGGCCTAGCAGCCTACTCTACACAAGGAGGGTGCTACATCTATTTTGTTATATTCTAATAGGGATCACCACTTGATGCATTGTTTTTACGTTTTTTAGGCCTTGCACCCTGTGGAAGGCCGTGTTTACACGCACAGAGAGCATTTGCTGCATCTCAATTGACAGCAATGGGACTACCTGCACTGGGATTTAGGGAACCCCTGTGCATCACCATGTGGGTAAAAAAAGCCCTCCACAAGAGTACGCCCTGTGTGAACAAGACCCTAATTACATAGAGGTGGCCCCCTCTATAACTAAGCTCTGGTGGGTGGGGCGAAACGCATTAGAGGGAGTGGTGCTGGCTGAGGCCATCCTATGCATTCCCCATGAACATAGATTCTGTCACTGTTGGATGAATGAGCTGGAATATCGGCACCCCTATTTCTGAGGACCAGAGTAGCACTCCAAGCTTTGTTCTGGGTCCCAGCTTGGGGTAGTTGTTCAGACGCCTGAAACATGTTAGCTCTTTTGTTCAATGGTTTGATGAATGATTAAAGTTCCTGATACTCATTTGTGGTTTGGTGCTCTTCAGACTTCATGGAGTTTGGCGTAGAGATGAGTGAACCGGGCAAAATCCACCTTCCTGACCATCCACCAAACCTGTCAGGAAGTCCGCAAACCCCCCGAAATGGTCAACGTCATTGAAGTCTACAGGAGTTGGATCTTCTCAGTTTTATCTGACATTTTTTGGGGCTAATTTGCAAACTTTTGTTTAAAAAAAGGGACATTGGTAGCTGTGCCCTACCACGGGGGCATGTTCTAATGCAAAAAAAAATACCATTCAAATGTGAGAGGGTCTGTTAATACGACCTAAAGGCCAACCTTGGAAATTCACAAATTCTTCAAATAACATACTTGGCCTTTGCCTTAAAGCTGCACGTGACTTTACAAAACTCTACGAGGGACAGGGGCCTCATCCCCACATCATGCACCCTTAAAAGGGATATTGGGGTGCAGGGCCCTTGGGCAATAGGGGATCATGGGGCCCCTGTGTCCTTGCCCAAACTCAAAAAAGCCTATGAAAAAAGGTACCAGGGGCATCTCATGGGGCCCCCTACTGACCCCGGGCCGTGCCCGAGTTTCCAAATGGTCAGTCCGCCCCTGTGGGGGGGTGTTTGGGGTCGGGGAGGGGGGCTTTTAAGAATCTGGAAGCCCACTTTGTAATATGGCGCCCCTTAGATATCTGCCTCCCTCTAGGGGAATGAGCACAGTATAGGTTGAGTTGAGGAATGAAGTATGAGCAGGGGCGGACTGACAACTCATGGGGGCCTCAGGCAATAGGGGATCATGGGGCCCCTGTGTCCTTGCCCAAACGCA